CCAAGTTCTGGCGGAAACAGTACCTCTAAATTCCTGCCCTCCTCAAATGACAGCCAACTAGCCAAGACCCTGGTTAATCATGATACTTTAAAATTAACTTTCCAGTAGTTTGGTTTTAAGTCAGCAATCCCAAAAGTATGGACTTCCCTTTGCCTGTTGTTGATGTTTATTTGTTGTTTATTCGTTCAGTGGTTGCCCTTATTTATGCTGCTTAATATTTCAGCCTTGGACCTAGCCAATATGAAAGTATGGCTGAAACAGGAAACTCAGATTACAAACAGTCAGATTATTTACATAATCTAAACATGGCCCTGTTGTTTTAGGAGCGGCATCAAACAGTATTATCTAAAAATGCCAAAGTCTGATCCATAAACACTAAATAAGAAAACTTTGTCAACTCAGATGATCTTTTGACCTCCTGCTAAAACACGTCTTTGTAGCAAAGCTTGTGAGCATGTAATCTTCAGAAAGGGATGCCATTGGAAGGAAAGAAACTGTCAAAGCTTATTGGGCAGGGTTTTTTTTAAAAAAAAATGATTTTTTTTAAGTCCTCCTTAACCATTTACACACATAGGTGTGGGCCTCTGACATAGATGTGTCGCTTCATATGTTTGTTGGCTGACTGCAAAATTCCCTTCACCCATCATCATTGGCCATATAAGGCAGGTCCTTGCTATATTTCTAAACTACAGCTTCCAAACTCCATCAACCAACATAGGCAGAAGCTTAACATGTTGGTTTTCAAGGAAGCTGTAGCTACATGATAATAGCTCTATCTTTTGATGTAGGATCTCAGTCATTAATTTACAACAATGTCAAAAGCAGAGAAATATAATAATGATGAAAAAAATTACATATTCCTATTGAAAACCCTTCTGTGTTGGCACGGTTACAATTAAAGAGCTGAAAAAACAAGAAGGTCTTTGTTTAGGTTCTTGTAGGTTTTTTCGGGCTATAGGGCCATGTTCCAGAGGCATTTCTCCTGACATTTCACCTGCATCTATGGCAAGCATCCTCAGAGGTAGTGAGGTCTGTTGGAAATAGGAAAATGGGTTTATATATCTGTGGAATGACTGGGGTGGGGCAAAGAGCTCTCTGCTGAAGCTAGGTGTGAATGTTTCAGCTGATCACCTTCATTAGCATTTGAAGGCCTGGCTGAGCCTGGGAAAATGTTCTGTTGAGAGGTGTTAAGATGTGCCTGGTTGTTTCCTCTCTGCTGTTTTGCTGTAGTAATTTTAGAGTTTTTTTAATACTGGTAGTCAGATTTTGTTCATTTTCATGGTCTCCTCCTTTCTGTTGAAATTGTCCACATGCTTGTGGATTTCAATGGCTTCTCTGTGTAGTCTGACATGGTGGTTGTTGGAGTGGTCCAGCATTTCTGTGTTCTGTGTATTTTAACTGGACAGTTTATGTGCCAATCAGGAGCCATTGCAGTAGACTTGATTAGCTGTCAAAATACAATAAACATACTCTATATTCACAGTTGTGGTATGTTGTTTATTTGGAATGCTGCTCTGCTGACATCCTCTTTGGCCATTAAGAATAAAGCCTCTGATTTTGCCTTCAACTTATCTGTCGACCTCATCACGTGAGGTTCTTTTTGGTGGCATGTGCTAGTTCACCTCTACTTTTATGACAGAGCCCGCCTTCTCTCATTGCATGGCATAGGACAACTTCTGGTGGGGCTCCGTTGTAAAAGTAGAGACGAACCAGTGCATGTCATTGTGGTGACAACACAAAAGACTTCCTGAGTTGAATAGAAATCAACAGGGGAAGTCGAGTGGCTGACATTTTTCCCCATGGGATGAGGACTCAGCTGAGTTGGGTGATGCAGGGTTCCTCATGCCCCCCAATGGGCAGTGCTGGATTCATCACAATGCATGGCGATTCTGACAGCCCCTCTAATGAGGTTGCTAGTCATCTGGCCTTCAGGAAACTTGACACTCCGGGCCCCAAACCCACAATTTTAGCAGAGCCAAAATCACACAACCTTGGAAGCTTGGAGGTTTCAGAGATATGGTGCATCCAAAAACTTTATGGGATTTATGCAGCCAAATGTTGCTGACCTCCAGATCTCACCAAGTCCAGCCAGCATAATCAATGATCAATGATGAGAAATGCTGGGGGTTACAGCTGAACCACACCTGGAGAGATGTCTGATCCTTTCCCCATAAGCAGGTCTCTCTCTCTCTCTCTCTCTCTCTCTCTCTCTCACACACACACACACACACACACACACACACATTTGCTTCCAATAGAAAAGGGTAAAAGATTTCAATAATTTCAAATGTGTGTGTTGAACTGTTGAAGCAGCTACTTAACAATTCCATGTCAACACACATGGGGGAGCCATACTCCAAACCAAATTTCTGATTACAGCAGGTATATGCATTTTGCCAACATTATTTTAACTCTTCAGTACTAATGTTAGAGTCCTATCTTTCACAATAAGGACTGTGTGTGTCCCAACAACAACAAAACAAAGGAAATCTTTGGGTTAATGTTGCAGTTGCATAGGTTTCAAACCATGTCTTCCAGATTAATCCAGTAGTTACAGAAGGATCACTGAAATGATTTTTGAGATTTGTTTGTGGTGTGTGTGCATGTTAACATTATCAGGTCACATGTTATTAATTTCTCCTTTTAAAAGGAGAATGTATACATGCATATAAGTTCCTTCCATGTAGTCTATTATGCTCCCAAGTAAGAGCAAATAGGGCTGATTGCAGCTAGCCCTTATTATTCCAGGGAGGGCTCAACAATAAATTAATATTTCTTAAGTTAATAATAATTGAGTACACTTCTCTTTCATAATGCCATAGTTTTATTTTGCCAAATCATTTTCAGGTGTGGTGAGGTGTCACTCCTTCTGCCTAATCTTGGAATGGCTTCAGTCTCCCTGCTGCCTCCACCATTGCAGGGATTGATGAGCTCAAAAGTCTTTTTACCAGATAGTAATCCTTACTTAGGCGATCCCTCATTGTCCGACTATGATCCTTCCAAGTGCGGTGTCTTGGCAGTGGGTACGTAGGGGACTGTGGAGCTCTATTCTTCACCTGAGGGCATCGGTTTCTAGGTGGAAGGCGGTTCCAGTCAGGATTGGATCAACGCACCTTTCTCTTGGCACATTTCTCCCTTTCCATCTGTGCCTCTTCAAATTCCACAGCACTGCTGGTCACAGCTGACCTCCAGCTAGAGCGCTCAAGGGCCAGGGCTTCCCAGTTTTTGGTGTCTATGCCACAGTTTTTTAAGGTTGGCTTTGGCCCATCTTTAAATCTCTTTTCTTGTCCTCCAACATTTCATTTTCTGTTCTTGAGTTGGGAGTAGAGTAACTGCTCTGGGAGATGGTGATCAGGCATTTGGACAACATGGCCAGTCCAGCGGAGTTGATGGCATAGAAGCATCATGTCTTCCCAAGAGATTTGTAGGATTTTTTGGAGGTAACACTGATGGAATTGTTCCAGGAGTTGAGTGTGACGTCTGTAGACAGTCCACATTTCACAGGCATATAACAGGGTTGGGAGGACAATAGCTCTATAAACAAGCACCTTGGTCTCCCTATGGACGTCCCATTCCTCAAACACTCTCTGCTTCATTTGGAAAAATGCTGCACTCACAAAACTCAGGCGGTGTTGTATTTCAGTGTCACTGTTGACTTTTGTGGAAAGGTGGCCACCAAGGGAGTGGAAATGGTCAACATTTTCTAATGTTACACCATTAAGCTGTATTTCTGGCATTGCAGAGGGATTGGGTGGTGATTGCTGAAAGAGCACTTTGATTTTCTCATTCTTAGATTAGATAATAATAAACATAAAGAAAAATTTAGAAGTAGAGGACTGAATTCTACAAAGAAAATTTGTGGCCACTTTGGCAATATCATTTGTAGTGTTTATTTTCTAGTGAACCCATCTGTTGGTAGCATTTTCACTGATAAAAGATTATGGGTTTTTTTCCCCCCAAAATGCATTTGCTAAAATGAATTCTCTTGTGGTTATTGGCAGGGGGAGATCTTCAGTAATATTCCTGGCCATTGCACTCCTGTATGTTCTAGTCAGAAATTAATATAGTAAAAGCTCTGTTTTTTCTTTTGAACTGTGATGCTGTTAAGAACCTCACCGTTACATTAAAATTGGATCAATGTCCTATGAAGTTAAAGGCACGATACAGTGGTTAGCGCGTTGAGCTAGGGAGATGCAGATTAAAACCCCTATTTGTTTGTGAAGATGGGAATCCTATTGGGCCAATCACTACAAAGTAGTCGGGAATGTGAAAATAAATGAATATGCTTTTTAGGTAGGATCAAAATATAACAAATAAGGCACAGCCCTGCATCATCTTGTTCTATGTTTGTGTCAGTAATATTCCCAGAGGCCAGCTTCCTAGCAACTAATTGGATTTCCATCCTTGACATTTTAATGAAGCCATAGCTTTTCTATTCCTAGCTCCTTTCTGGATGTGCTCAGGGAAGCCATCCACTACCCAGGAGGGCCACCTGAGGAAAGACGCACACACCTGTTGATTAGTAACAAGTGGTCGCAAATAGTGAAAGTCATTGGTGATTTCCTTCTAGAAGCTCAGGGGATATTTGAGGAGACACTCTGGATAAAGTCTGTGCCAGCTTAGGACGATACTTTATTTCGGAACAACTTTAACTGGAACAGGTAGGAAAGGTTGCCTGAAATTTGGATTTGAATCTTCTTCCTTTATGCTTCCTTTTCCTTTTTCCTTATCAAGAGACCTCACAATCGTGGTTCAGGTCTGACAATTACAGCACTCAGTGAATCCAAAGCATTGCCATTTTCTCCTGGATTTACCTGTAAAAAGAGTGCACCTAAATAAGCATTATAAATAATAACTGAGTGCATTTGATGACTGTATTAAAGGCCTCAGATATCTGAACCCTTTCTGGAAAAATATCCTTTTCATGGAAGGAAATGACTGCGTTTTCCGATGGTCCATGCAGAGTTGCCCTAAGTCTTTGCTTGCTCTCTTCCTGCAGTATGCCGACACAACTGGAGAGTGCCATGGATACTTTAATCAGGGTCTTCCATCATTATTCAGCAAAAGAAGGGGATAAATATAAACTCAATAAAGGAGAACTTAAACAGCTCCTCACCAGTGAACTCACTGACTTCCTTTCGGTAAGATGGAGTAACTATTATTAAGTCTTTTTAGCTGACTATTTATTGGGAAGATAACTGAGGAGGGGGAGTAGTTATCCAACAATCCTTAAAGATTGTTTCAGGAACCGTTTGTTCATGCAGGCAGGCAATCAAGACTTTTCTGCAACAGCAGCTATAATATGGGCAGAAATGGTTGGTCTACTGTACATATCGTGCCCTGTCCATAGCTGGAGACCAAATAGGGCTCTTGGTTTTATCATAGCTATGAAGCTTACCACCAAACCTTGTTATAATATATGTCTTTGTATGTAGCCTGCAAAATTTATTCTTGTACTACAATTTCCAGTATCCTACAACAAACATGTCTATGGGCCATATACTCTGGGGAATTTATAGAACTTTAGTCCCCCCCAAAAAAATCTTTTGCACAATTTACTCCATGTATGAGGCATTCTGAAAGTCTTCAGATTTTGGCCTCCACAGTCTTATGCCACGCAGTACATGCGAGTACATCCTTCTCAACATAATTGAACTGCTAAAACCACTATACCACAATGTTTCTTTAATAGAGAGTGGGAAATACTCTGATTACTGTCATATGTCTTTGAGACATTTCTGACTAAGGTTTTCTGGGACTGAGATTGTGACTTGCCCAAGGTTTCCCAGTGGGTTTTCATGGCAGAAGGAGAATCAAACTCTGGTCTCTAAAGCTGTAATCCAGCACTCAAACCATTATACCACACTGGCTTTCTCCTTGCCTTTACCTCCTCACTTTCTTTTTGTGTTGGCTATGATCCAGTTCTTAACACTGTTTTGTACTTGAGAGTGTAGCTTGCATCCTTCCATCCATCACATTTCTCCCTAGATTTTTCTCACATCCTATTCTTTGATCACAACAGGACTGCTTTGCATGCCTAACCAAATGATGTAGTAAGTGTGTATGCCAGATAGATCTGTGATGACTTGGAATATGGGCAAATGGTTGTGAGGGAGCTTTGGCAGGTGCAGCTCAGAGGTGACAATTCTGCTGGGTTGTGGTGCTCCGAGCAAATGCAGTCTGCTTGCCTATTCAATTTGGGAACCAAGATGGGCAGAAAAGGAAAGAAAGAGCACAATAGCAGTACAATTAAAAACAGGGGGAAATAAAAAGCACAAAAAATTGCAACCTTTAAATGCAATTAAGTCAATGATGGTGTAAGAAAAACAACTTAAAACTGTTTTAAAAATCCAATAATTTGAAATAGAAAAAAAATCATTATTATAGTTTTCACCCATTGAAATCCTTGGCTATGACTCCAGCTGAGCTCAGATGCATCCAGACCATTCCTATTCGCCGTGTCAGTAATCCCCTTCTTTTTTTCTTACTTTAGAACAGTGGTTCCTAACCTTTCTTGACCAGGGACCACTTTACCAGGGACTACTTGACTAGAGACCACTTTGACCAGGGACCACGCTCCAACATTAGTACCAAAAGTTTTACAATTCAGTTTTTGGTCAACTTTAGATTCGGTTTGGGGTGCCGATTCAGAAAATTGCAGTAGATAGACCACATCAGCTGTAGTTTCTGATACAGAACATATGCCATATAAAGAGGAAGGAGGCTCGCATACCAGATTTTTGCCCTCACGGTCCACTGGTGGTTTGTGGCCCACAGGTTAAGAACCACTGCTTTAGAAAGTCCTCCAATCTTGGATCACTACCTGTGGTCTTCTTAGCTAAAATGTGGGCATGAAGGACAGTAGTTTTCAAGACAGCTGAGAGTTTTTTGAGAGATTGTATAATTCTGTTGTCTATTTACAGGTTTATTTGGATTAGAGGGGGCAATGTCTATTCTGATTAATCTATGTTTCAAACAATGGAAAAACATACAAATCCTATCAACCAGAGACAGAACTGAAATGAACTTACACAGTTTGAGCTACAATTCTTTTTTCAATTTGTATTTAGCTCTCTGCGGGGATAAGAAAAGTCTGACTCCAGACTTAAGCTGCTCTATCAGCCTCCTCAACAGAAAGTACATAATATCTGAGTTGTCCTGAGCACACTGCTTTTTTATTTATCGCATCAGCAGTGAACCAAGTGTACAGTTGTAATGTATTTGAAAAACACAAAGTTTAAAAACTTTGCATTATATTAAATGTCCTTTGACCTGTAGTTGGCCACTTGGAGTGCCTCTGGTGTTGCTGTAAGGATATGCACACATTGTGCCTGTGGCAGGGATCACACTGCATTGTAGTAGGTGGTCTGTGATTTGCTCTTCTCCACACTCACATGTCAAGAGCTTCACTTTGTAGCCCCATTTCTTAAGGTTGGCTCTGCATCTCGTAGTGCCAGAAGGCAGCCTGTTCAGTGCCTTCCAAGTTGCCCAGTCTTTTGTGTGCCCAGGAGGAAGTCTCTCATTTGGTATCAGCCATGGATTGAGGTGCTGGGTTTTAGCCTGCCACTTTTGGACTCTCGCTTGCTGAGGTGTTCCTGCAAGTATCTCTGTTGATCTTAGAAAACTATTTATTGATTTAAGGTGTTGGTGTGCTAGCTGATATCCAAACGGGATGAGCCAAAGATATCGCAGCCTTGGTCCTTTCATTATTGGCTGCTACTTCCTGGCGGATATCAGGTAGTGTGATACCGGCTAGACAGTGTAATTTCTCCAGTAGTGTAGGGCGCAGACAGCCTGTGATAATACAGCATGTCTCGTTAAGAGCCACATCCACTGTTTTAGCTTGATGAGATGTATTCCACACTGGACATGCATACCCAGCACCACAGTAGCAAAGCTCAAGGGCAGATGTCTTCACTGTATCTGGATGTGATCCCCAGGTTGTGCCAATCAGCTTTCGTATGATATTGTTTCTAGCGCCCACTTTTTGCTTGGTATCCAGGCAGTGCTTCTTGTAGGTCAGAGAACAGTCCAGGGTAACTCCCAGGGATTTGGGTGTACTCCAATGGTCCAATGGGATTCCTTCCCAGGTAATCCTCATAGCTCGATATGCTTGTCTGTTCTTAAGATGAAAAGCACATGTCTGTGTTTTAGATGGATTAGGAATCAGCTGGTTTTCCCTGTAATAGGCAGTAAGAGCACCTAAAGCTTTGGAGAGCTTCTGTTCAATCATCACAAAGCTTCTGATAGTTTTATCAGAACAATAATAGTACACTGCTAAGATTATATTAGAAAGTAACAATTTGTAACAATATGTCTAAACCAAATTCCTTGTGTAGATCAGGCAGGGCCCATCTAAATACCAAGTGTATAAGAAATGGAAGAACTTGGAAAATCTTTGCAATAAAGTGCATAGAAAATTGCAGACCTTGAATATCTAGGCTATAACTGCCAGAATCCTTCTACCAACATGGTAATTGAAGGTTGTGGTAGCTGTAGTCCTGAAAGTAACCTTTTCAGCAGTCATGGTAAGTGGTGGTCTTGGTTCTAACAGTAGTGGTCCAAAATAATATTTTCCAAGTTCTGGAACAGTGGCCAAAGGTGCTGTGCAATTAATTACCAGGCATTCCTGTCAATGCTTCCATGCTATGCATATATGGTTCTTTCTTTTATGTTGTATCCAGCTGTTCGGTTTAAGAATGCTGTGCTTCACCTATTGCAGATCCATCTGTACTTTACCTGATGCAGGTCCATCTATTTCAGCATTTTTGTCCCAACAGTTTGTAGTAAGATGCTTTTGAAAGCTCACAAATACAGTATGGATCTGATGCCCATTCTTGTTTCTTCTCAACATCTGGTACATGTGGTCTAGTTTGATGGCAGAGTACATGCTTTGCAAGCAGAAGGTCACAACATCAACCTTGGCCTCTCTAATTATATCCTGGAGCAGACAACGCGGAAGGCCTGAGAGTGGAGACTTAAAGAAATAAAAAAAACAAAACAGAAACTTAGAAGAGCAGCTATGAAGGCACTAGACAAGACCCTGACTTGTAAAGATATATCACTGTATACCCAAGTTAGGATGGTCCATGTCTTCATGTTCCCCATTTCTAAATATGGCTGTGAAAACAGAACAGCGAAAAAGCTGATAGAAAGAAAATTGACTTAGTTTAGGTGTGATACTGGAGCAGAGTTTTGTGCACTGCTTAAAAAGACAAATAAATGGGTTCTAGAACAAATCAAACAGGATGTTTCCCTAGAAGCCAAGAATGCCCTCTGAACTTCACTCTGAACCAAGACTCTGAATCTTATCCAACTGACATGGAAGACAATAGGTACCAGCGACACAGAGTTCTGGATTTTCGGTGTTCAGAAATTCATTATCACCTTCAGGGCCAATTTCTGTACTACTTGGTTCAAAAAGAGAATCCATTTTCATTAAAGATATAGGTAAAACAATTCCAAAACAGCAAATCATAGTTAGGTAACGTAAAGGTTTTCCCCTGACATTAAGTCCAGTAGTGTCCGACTCCGGGGTGTGATGCTCATCTCCATTTCTAAGCTGAAGAGCTAGCGTTGTCCGCAGACACCTCCAAGGTCATGTGGCGAGCATGACTGCATTGAGCGTCGGAGCGGTACCTATTGATCTATTCACATTTGCATGTTTTCAAACTGCTAGGTTGGCAGAAGCTGGGGCTGACAGCGGAAGCTTACGTCGCTCCCCGGATTCGAACCTGTGACCTTTCGGCCAACAAGTTTAGCAGCTCAGTTCTTTAACCCACTGCACCACCTGGTAGATGTCATAAAAACCAATGATTCTATATGCTGCTACTGACTAACCTATTATGGACCTATTCATCAATCTACAACATAGACTGCAACAGAAAGAATCACTGCTGTATATATGTACTAGATATATATTTATTAAATTACTCTTAGGCCTCACCGACACTGTCATATAATGCAATTTAACTGCATTGAACTGCATTATATGAGTCTATACCTATAATGAGACCTTAGTTAACATGGTAGCTGAATACCAGCCATTGGTTTCCTTCCTAAATGACATCTTCTAATCTTCCTAAATTTGTCAATTTAGAAATGAATTTAAATAATGTAAACTATATTTCATATATGGATTTGGATAAAATAAATTGGCTCTCAAAAGGTTTAATGAGCACCAATGTTGATCCCAGTCAGGATAGAGACACCCTAGGTACTGGAAAATGTACATTTTTGCCAATCACAGACTATTATTTGCTCCTCCATTTCAGCCTTCTGATGGTGCTCTTTCCTCACAAAGTTTTTCAAGAAAAACAGATGCACAGCCAGGCTCAGGGAGGCTTGGTACACTATTATAGAAGATGGATGACCCAAGATTATGTAGAGGAACACTAGTCAATATCTGGAAATGTTCCTGTTCTATAAGTGCTTCTTCCAGCTTGGGGCTGCATAGTGTTTTATTCACAGGTTGATTGGAACTCCTGCAGCCTCTAAATATAGCCTCCTATCTTTGCTGAGCAGAGGGATTGGCGAGAAGCGCCCTCGCTCCAGGACACATTATCAGTGCCAATGTGATTTGTGCTCCTCTAGTTTGTCCCTAAATTATTCTCAGCTGAAATTCTTGTACTGAAAAAGAAAAGAAAGATCTGATATATACCTGGCATCCTCCAGTCCATTAATCCCAAGAAACCTCATTGGCAGTTTTGTAAAAATAGGAAAGAAAGGGGGAGAAAAAGGAAGCTGTCATCAATTTTCTTGGACTAAAGGCTTTTTCTGTCTTGTGTACCATCTTAATAAAATGCCTCTATATTGGTCCAATCTTCAGAGTAATCTACTAGTAGACAATCGATATGCCTTCAGATCTTTGCACATCAGACAAAAAAAAAAGAAGAAGAAAAGATTATACTTCTTTTAAGGGAAGTTCACATGTTAACTTTCACCATAGAGTGATGTAGAGCATTTTCCACACATGTGGATTAAAGGCACTTTGTTTCTGATGTGAAGACACATATGCCCAGGCAAACCCCCACAAGATTAGCCAGAATGCTAATTCAGATTACAAATACTTCTTATCTACTTTCCCCTCCATATGAATAATCATCATAATTAGCAGAAGAAACAGGCTGGAATAGAGTTTGCTTTAGGTCACAGTTATTGGCCAACATTTAGTTAATCACATACACATACAGTAGAGTCTTGCTTATCCAACCTTCGCTCATCCAACATTCTGTATTATCCAACGCAGTCTGCCTCCTGCCCGGATCCACAGTTGTTTCAATACATTATGATGTTTTGGTGTTAATTCATAAATACAATAATCACTACATAACATTACCATATATTGAACTGCTTTTTCTGTCAATTTGTTGTAAAACATTATGTTTTGATGCTTAATTTGGAAAATCATAATGTAATTTGACGTTTAATAGGCTTTTCTTTAATCCCTCCTTATTATCCAACATTTTCACTTATCCAACATTCTGCCAGCCCTTTTATGTTGGATAAGCGAGACTCTACTGTATGTAAATCATGCTACACATGCAGAGTTAATTATTTGTCATGGTGCAACAGATCTGTTGTTGCTGTTGTTATATTTATTTATTTATACCCCACTGTATCTCTCCCAAAGGAGACTCTCAGTGCTGGAATCAAAGCTGCACATACTGCAAGGTTTGTGTAGTGGTGGCATAGCCTATCTCAGCATGTTTACCCTCTAGTAAGGGAAAGTTGAATATATACACTCTGAGCCATGTATCTCAAAGTGGTGGTCCATGTGCTCAATTTCTAGGAATGACAGAGGCAATGGGGACAAACATGTTGGTGCTCCCTGGCACACTGGGGAAAAAGGAAATTCAGCAGTTCTTCACATAGGATAGTTTAAGAAGCATTGATTTATACAAGCTCTGTTTGGCTGCCACTCACCATGCTTTCTTCAACATGGGAGCAATTTACCAATAAGTCTTGGCCTTTCCACCATTTTTTTCCTCACATGGAAAGTGGTGCACCTGAAGACAAGAAGTTCCTGATTATATGTAGGTCTCAGAATGAGAATGAAGCCTGGAAAAGCAAGGTGAAGTCAGAAGCTTCTGCATTTCATCTGAGTCACATTTCACCTGAGGAAAGTAGTGATGGAAGGGGGTCTAGATGTTTCACTTTTCTGAAGAAAGTGTGGTGAGTAATGACTGGAGAAGGCTATAAGACTCTGCAATAAACCTAGCAGTAGGGGAGTCAGTGACAGAGAATTTACTGTGAAAAGTTTCTGTGTTCGTTCCTCATTATCTCTAGATAGAATTGGTAAAAACATTGCCCCAGAGTCTGGATTTCATAGAGTTGTTTCGATCCAGTGTTGACAGTAATGGGCTAAATGGACCAGTGGTTGGAATATTTGATTGTATCTAACAATGATGAATCAGAAATTTAGATTGACCAGGATTCAAGATAATGAATGTTAGCAATTATGTTTATCTTTTTTTGAATTAGCTGAAAAATTTCACTGAACTGAAGATGTAATTCTATATTCACTTACCTAACAATAAGTCCAGGGAACTCAATAAGAATTTTCTTTGCATAGGGATATACATTGTATCCTGCTGAACTTGCTGACCAAAAGGGAGTGGGGTGAGCTCCCACTGAATCTTGGGAGTGGGGTGAGCTCCCACTGCTAGCCCTTCTTCAGCCAACCTAGCAGTTCGAAAACATGCAAATGTGAGTAGATCAATAGGTACCGCTTCGGCGGGAAGGTAATGCCACTCCATATAGTCATGCTAGTCACATGACCTTGGCGGTGTCTACGGACAATACCAGCTGTTTTGCTAAGAAATGGAGAGGAGCACCATCCCCCAGAATCGGACACAACTGGACTTAAGGTCAAAGGAAAATATCTACCTTTACCTTCTATACATTGTATCTCTTTGCTGTTTCGTTTTCTTATGTATTCACTGTTTATGTTAGTTCAATTTATTTAGAAAACAATCAATTTATCATGAATAGATGTATGAGTGAAACAAAGTAGATTCATCACGGGACCATTCTGCCCCAATTCCAAATGGATTTATATATGGTAAATCATTTTCAAATATAAATATTTTCAACTTTTTACACATTTGGTCCTAAATATACATTTTATTTGTTTGTCTGTTTTTGCTGATTAAAGGAGGGGGTGGAGGTGGAGGTGGAAATAACTTCCTGAAGTGATTGTATCCACATGCTAATCCAGAAAGGTTGACTCATGTTGACTCCCTTACAAAGTCTGACCAATATCCATAAACATCATTTCTGAGTACACACATATGTGATTTCATTGTTAATCCATTTCATCTGTTAGTGTAAACTGAAAACTTTTTGATCAACTAAAAACGTGCCTCCAGTTAGACAATATAGTTATTAATCAGGTTTTCTGCTTGGTTTAAAACTCCAGTTTCGAAAACATATTTTTTGAACTATAGCTTTCAGTATTCTCTAGCCATAATGGGCAAGGGGCATTGTACTCCCGTAAAGTAATACAGAACAGACCCCTTATTGACAGATTTCATGTCTATGGTTTCACTTGCACACACTTCAAAAAAAAAATATTCCCCACCCCAAAGTGTTTCTGGCTTTCCACTGTGATTCTATGGCATATTTCCAGCCCAAACGTGGTGAAAATATAGGCTCCGTGGTTATCCACACCTTCGTGTATCCATGTGGGAACCTACTGCATTTCAAAAATCTGAAAAAATGTGTTGTGACAAGTTTTATTTTACAAGAGCCATTCCACCTTCTCTGTTATGTAGAGTGAAGTAACTTTTGTACCAATGCAACTAGTATCTGCATCCTTTATAAATAAGATATAGCTTTTTGTTTCTGAATTAATGTTTCATTTATGGATGCTTTTATATGCAAACACATTCAGGGTCACCAAACTATGTGAATGATAGCTCTAGGTGTGAAGAACACATTGATATTTAGTTTTTAATTGAAGTATTGAAAACATTAGAAATAAAAATTATGCTTTCGGAAATACAAATTATGCAAAGCCATCTCATTGCTGAATCAAATAAAGGTAAATGTCACTGTTCATGTAAAAAATCTAAAGGTTGTAAATTGTATGCACACATACCCACAAGGAATTAAAATAGAAATCTTAAAGACAATTGCCACTGCTCAGAAGACTGTGTAACCAATATCCGACAGCATGCCAAGATATGCTAATATCTATTTTCACATTTGTAGTGTCAAAAGGATCCTCAGCTGGTTGATAAGATTATGAAAGATCTGGATAGCAATAAAGATAATGAGGTGGATTTTAATGAATTTGTGGTCCTGGTTGCTGCATTGACAGTCGCATGTAATGATTTCTTTGAGGAGCAAATGAGGAAAAAGGAGAATAGCTAAGGTAGGTGGTACATATTTAATTATCAATCTATAGGATGTCTTTTATGGCTAATGGCTAATCTCATTGGACCAACTAAGCATTTGCTATTATATAATAATAATAACAATAACAATCCGCCTAGTCAAAGCCATGGTATTCCCTGTAGTAACCTACGGATGTGAGAGCTGGACCTTAGGGAAGGCTGAGCGAAGGAAGATCGATGCTTTTGAGCTGTGGTGTTGGAGGAAAGTTCTGAGAGTGCCTTGGACTGCGAGAAGATCCAACCAGTCCATCCTCCAGGAAATAAAGCCCGACTGCTCACTGGAGGGAAAGATACTAGAGACAAAGTTGAAGTACTTTGGCCACATCATGAGGAGACAGGAAAGCCTAGAGAAGACAATTATGCTGGGGAAAGTGGAAGGCAAAAGGAAGAGGGGCCGACCAAGGGCAAGATGGATGGATGGCATCCTTGAAGTGACTGGACTGACCTTGAGGGAGCTGGGGGTGGTAACGGCCGACAGGGAGCTCTGGCGTGGGCTGGTCCATGAGGTCACGAAGAGTCGGAGACGACTGAACGAATGAACAACAACAACAACAACAAACAATAACAATAATAATAACTTTATTTTTATACCCCACCTCCATCATCCCAAAGGGACTTGGGGTGGCTTACAGAGGAACAAGGCCAAGAATTATTTATTTATTTTTATTTATTTACTATGCTTCTATACCGCCATTCTCAGCCCGAGGGCGACTCATGGCAGTTTACAAAATGGCACAATTCGATGCCCACAACAATACAAGGATAATTTAAACATTAAAAACATTTAACATGGATAAAAAAATCATTACAATTAACATCAATAAACATAATAAAAACCATAATTCCTCCACATTTCATTACCAGACCAGTCACTGTCAAGTCACGTTGTCCAACCGTTCTGAGATCAGAGTTTAATAGCTACACTGCATTTGGGAAAGCCTGCTCATATAGCCAGGTTTTAACTTTTTTGCGAAATGTTAAGAGGGTGGGGGCTGATATAATGTCCCTGGGAAGGGCATTCCACAACCGAGGGGCCACCGCTGAGAAGGCCCTATCCCTCGTCCCCGCCAATCGAACCTGTGAAGATGGTAGGGCTGAGAGCAGGGCCTCCCCAGAAAATCTTAAATTCCATAGTATCCTCTTTTATTCATTATATTGCTGTTAAATTGGGGCTCAAAGGCTGTCTATTTTTGTAGCCCACAAAGCCAGTTTATGCACTCATCCCACCTCGGTCCCAACCCCTCCAAGTTTCATAGCTGCTCTCCATCAAACACTCTTGTCCCTCTGTTTTCTTCCATGGTCCACCAACTCTCTGTTATTTCAAGAGCTTCTGGCCTTGTTTGTTCTTGGATGGTTCTCTTCTTAAGCACAGTTCTCTTACTTGCTGCTGATCATAAAGTCCTAGGGTTTTGATGCTACAAGGCTTGGCTCTACAACACTACTGTCTGTATAATACTACGGTTATCTGTAGGATACCAGGAAAACTCCTCTGCTAGCCTACCAAACTGTCAGACTAGATCATTTCTTTGTCATATTATATATTATATATTTAATATTTTCACTTAGTACAGATGTATATCTATTTTAAAATATTTAATATTTCAGGTATGCAAAATGTGACGTAATACCGTTTAAAATAAGGAACAATGCTGGTACTCAATTTTAAATATGTAAAAAGTACCTTTAATATAAAGATGTGTATGAATATATATATATATATGGAAATGTTAATATTTCCATCTGAATGCACATGGCATTTGAAATATGACGTGCTTTAAACTAGATAATTTCTTTTCTAAGAAACTTTAATTGCATAATGACTACTGCATCTCTGTTTGCATTGACAGGTTCAATCGTCATTTGAAAAGATGAAGACAGTTACTTCTACTGAGCCAAGAGTTTACCTTTTATTTTTTCCCCCTTAGTACGATCCTCTTCGTCAGCTCAAGTACTCCTAACACTGACTATTCATGTTTTAAAATATTAGCACACTGGAACAACTGAGACTTAAGCTAAATGTGTTGTAAAAACAGTCAGTAGCTTATGCCAGTTGTAGATCTAATGCAAATATTGCTGTTGTATATATTGTGCCTTTAAATGTGTCACTATATGGCCTCTTAGGTATAGTATTGTAATCAGCCATTGATAAGGACAACCATTCCCATTTCACTGCATTCTGAAGAAAGAAAGAATAGATGGCTTTTTAAAAAGTTGACTGTGCAGTACCTCTACTTTGCAATATTGTGGCATTAAACACAAAATTTTGAGCACACATGAAGAGGTTGTGCAGCTGAGCCACAAGGCTATTATGCAACAAGGCTATAGCAATATAGCAGTAGAAACTGTACTGGTGGCTTGTATGTCCATGAAGCAGTGAATCTGTCCTAGAGTTTGCTCTCTGTTTCTATACAAGGAGATGAACCATATCCTCAAAATAGTCCAGCATTTTTGACACTCGGTTTATAAGGTTTACTTTAAAACCCAAGGAAGATACATCACTAATATGGAAGCCACAAAATGCCACTGTGGGTACAGAAACTATACAGCAAGGTATTAAATGGTTAGCCCAAAACCATTTGAATTCATTTCAATACATAGAAACAAAAGCAACAGAACCTTTGTGTTTCTTGAAAAGCTACTGGTACATTTACACAGGTGTGGGTGAAGTATTGGGAGGATGCAAATTCAAGGCCACATCTAACTCTGGCTGGAGGCTATACTGAACTGAGAGCCTGGAGTAGTCCCACCTTTAATGGACCGCAATGTCTCAAAGGACTACCATGCTTCATTATGTATACTGCCAATGATTTACAGAGGGATGTTCATGCCTATAGCACTCATCAAAAGTTTTCTGTATGTTTACTTTAGACAAGCCTGCCACTTTCATTCATCTGATCCCAAAGGCTCCTTCATTATTTGTTCTTATATTGGGTTTTTGTCCCCCCCCCCCCCCCCCAAGATCACAGCTGCAGCTGTTGCATAAATCTATCAAAAACAGATTTCTACCAACTATTTCTGGAGCTACTTTTAGAATTGCTGGCCTCATTCTCATGCAGATAGGCCTTGTTTGGTTAGAAACATTCTCCCATTGATATTTTGTAATTATTTTCTTTACTTTTGCTGTGGTTCAAAAAACTGAAATAAAGTATAGATAGGCAGTCCAATTTGGGGATTGGCATCTACAGAACAGATAATCCAGATGCTTTGCACACAAAGTAGAAAACAAACATCTCTGCTAGTTCCACCACCAGTTTCTCCCACCCTCATCTAAGCACAATGAATTATAAAACTGTGAAACTAGATGAGCCTGTATGGGTTAAGCCAACCGAGTATCATTCTCTTGTGTGCTTAGCTTAAGCCGAAATATGGCACACATGCAGCCCAAAACAAGCTGATTACTACAAACAGGATGTCTGATGACCAAATGTAAGGTCATAAAAAAAGCTGATGTTCTATCAATTTGATGAGGTTCAGAGCTGGGCTGCCTGTAGGAGTGTCTCTGATCATTTTGATTGGAGGAGGAAGATTATTTTCATAGCAGAATACAACTTTATTTTTTAATAAATATACATGTTGTGCTCATAGACAGGTTATGACAGAGCCCTAATAAAGCTTTGCATTATAATCAGACATTTAGATACAGGCAAGTGTCCATATAAAATGTATTGCAATAGATGTATGGCTCTTTCGTTGCCCACAATTCCACTGGGGGCCCTTCCACACAGCCATATAACCCAGAATATCGAGGTAGAAAATCCCACAATATCTGCTTTGAACTGAGATATCTGAATCTACACTGCCATATATCCCAGTTCAAAGCAGATAATGTGGGATTTTATTCAGCTGTGTGGAAGGGGTCTGTATTTTACAGATATATCATTTACATTCAGTACTGTGCCAGGAAACTAGCATGATGGGACTTTCTTCTAATCTTCATAGCATCCCTCTGAACTACCCTAAAAGTTCATATTTAGCAACCTTTTTCTGATCTTGTATTCCCAAACATCTCTGCTAGTTCCACCACCAGTTTCTCCCACCCTCATCTAAGCACAATGAATTATCATGAAAGTCACATCCATCCTCATTCAGCATGGTTAGTTATTGGGGCAATAAGTGCTCTAATCCATGAACAACCATGGACCCAAAATCATGCTCAGTATGAGTAAGAGATAAGCAGATCCATAAAGACTGGAATGATGATATGGCTGTTAATACTGTGTTTTTGCTGTTTTAACTGTTTTTACTGTTTTATTGCTTGTAATGAATGTTCTATTTATTATATTGCTTTGTTATATGTAGTGGCATCAAATTGCTGCCAAATGTAAGCTATCCTGAGTCCCCCTTTGGGGGTTGAGAAGGAACGGAGTAGAAATACCGGAAAATAAAAAAAATAAACATATAAAAGATAGGCAGTAGGATTGCCAAACCAGGATTCTCAGAGAACCTGAGATTTCAGTCCCAGAACCTGAGATCAAGGGACAACTCCTTCTGGTGTCATAAGGGCAGGTTCTAGTGAGGTTATAAGGATGCTTTCATAAGGGGACACCTCCTATGGCACTGTAAGAATCAAACATTGTTGCAAAGAATATGCCTTATGAATAAAGAAATGCACACACTTTCAGGGTAGTATTCTGGCCCTGAGATTTCTCCCCTTTGTCTTAAGGATTGCAGAAGATATGACAGAGTCTGCGATTTGGCAACTCTAATTAGATAGAGCAGAACTACAATTGGAGGAGGTTAGTTTGGTTGGTTTAGTCTTCCTTCTCAATGGTACTCCAATATCTTGGATGAAGTCTACAAATAAGGGGAAGTGGGATGGCTCTATCATCCATATCACACCATCAGAGGGCTCTTCCACACAGCCCTGTATCCTAGAATATCAAGGCAGAAAACCCCACAATATCTGCTTTGAACTGGGTTATCTGTGTCCACATTCAGATAATGTGGGATTTTCTGCCTTGATATTCTGGGATACAGGGCTGTGTGGAAGGGCCCATATTATTTTTATTTGCAATGAATTCAGGCTTTTGATGGAAGGTCAATTATATACAGATCTGATCTAAACTTTCCTTTAGCATTAGCTACAATTACACTCAGTCAAGGAAAGCATTCAAACACAAAAGACATAGTCTAATAAATAAGACATATAAATATACACACACTTCAGACTTGCTTTTCAAAGCAATGTTTTTGCTTCTATACTCCTCTGATACTTGCTGTTTTACTTACCTATATCCAACTATGTATGCCCTCTCTAGGAATGTTCTAGGTTCTCCAGACAGTTCTAGTTTAGGCTTTTACTGGACTTTACCATAAAGGGATGACCTATCAAACTCCTAGTGAGGATACACCTCTAGGAATTTGCTGGTCCTCTAGGTCACATCTATAGTAACTTCTAGTGAAAGTTATTCATTTTAATAGGGTTTGCTTTCACCCATAGTTTCCTGCTTCCATGGTAAGTTCAGAAATGTATCCTTCTTGGATATAGGGGTTAGACTGTAACTAGGTAGACTATCTTAAATTCTATCCCTGATATCCACAAAAAAGCTTAAGCTATTAACAGTCGAAGGGCTGCATGTTGCTGATAGTGGTAGAGAATGATAGCCAGGTATATTTATCTACACCGTCTTCAAAATGAAGGGTATAATCCATAATTCTTTGTTCTAGACATGACAGTGCTTTTTTTCTATTAGTGGGATCAATTGACGAGACTGAGAGACTATGGCAAAGTCAGACTGAACTTGGGAATTTATCTCTTGTCTTTAATTAAATTGCGCCTTGATCATGAATTTAGACTAGTCTTCTTCTCTGAACAATGAGAAGGGTGTTTGTTGTGTGAACTTATCCAAACATCCTTGACTCTATCATTAAACACTTACATTAAAAAGGAGCCTATATTGTAGAGTCTACCTGAAAAAGATCAATAGAAAAGTAAGAGCTATTTGTGGTCTAATAGCCTTCCTTTTACATGTGAGACCAGTAAAAAATACAGCAAAATCAAGCAAGCCTTTCCTAAGTTCCTGCAGTTATTTGGTGTGCATGAGATGCCCATACGTTGGTTAGAAAACAAATTGTACTGTCTAGAAGCCTGCAGGGCATTGGCATTTGCTTTTATATCTGTTGAAATGAAACTTTATGTAGCACTTGGGAAATGACTGGATTAACACATTCTGGTAGGTGGCAAGCCAGTGTTAATAAGCCTTTACCATCATCAAATGCTAGATCCAATCAGATATCATGACAAGGTGCCCGGATGACGTCAATTCACTGTTGTTAAATTCTGAATTCTTCAATTCCTTCATGCATTGACTGTTCAAGTAAATCTTTTTCAAGGCAACGCCTCTTCAACCTCTCATGCTAAGCCACAGTATTGTGGACATGTCCAATGGCTTGATGGGACATCGATTGGTTCAAGGTGAACAAGTCAACTGCAGCATGGAAACAACAGCGCAAATGAGTGTTTTGACAAGATAAGAACAAAAAAATATGGCTCTAACTGGCAAATGATGTTTTTAGAACAAATATTAGAAGGCTTTGTTTGACTTCCTTTGATCCTACAAGTGGTGGTATGTTTGTTGTTCAGCATCATTAAAATATTTGAAAAATGAATATATGAAGCATATTTTGATATGGCATTCCTGAACATAGCTACAATTGTGATTGGAAAGTATATGATTTTAGAAGGATATAACATATAGGCAGCATTTTGAGTCACTTGGGATGTGAAATTAATTTTGTTACAGACAAGAAATCAAGGTTGCGTAAGAGCATTCTGATACAGATCATGTTTATTATTCTTTTTGACCATTTATTTCATATATCCTTTAAAGCAATGGTTCCCAACCTTTTTTTTTTTGACCAGGGACCACCTGACTAGGGACCACTTGAACAGGGACCACTTTGACCAGGGACCACTCTCCAACATTAGTACCAAAGGTGTTATGAATCAATTTTTGGTCAACTTTAGAATTGGTTTGGTTATTTGAGGTGCTGATTCAACTGCATTGGAGAGGCCAGATCAGCTC